CTCTGAAATTATCTTTAAATTTATAATAATAAAATTATACTCCAATCTTGGCGCCACCTATCTCAGGCAAACCATTGATTTTGTATTTGTCGTTTTATGAAAATTTAATGGGGTGTGTGCTGGGGCAACGTGACCAAACTGAGAAGAAAGAAAGGGCTATTTATTATCTCAGCAAGAAGTTCACTGAATGTGAGACAAGATACTCACCCATTGAAAAGTTGTGTTGCGCTCTAGTATGGGCTACCCGAAGGCTTAGGCAATATATTGTTGTATCATACTACTTGGCTTATATCCAAGCTTGATCCCTTGAAATATCTAATGGGTGTGTCTGCATTATCTGGAAGATTAGCTCGTTGGCAGATCTTATTGTCCGAGTTTGACATCCAGTATGTAAACCAGACGGCAATTAAAGAAAGTGCTATAGCAGAATTCATTGCAAGCATGGCTTCGCAAGAATATGAGTCGTTGAGCTTTGATTTCCCAGATGAAGATTTAATGGCTATTTCGGTAGAAGAAGCAGTTGCATCCACTAGCAAATATTGGAAGTTGAACTTTGATGGTGCTTCAAATGCCATGGGACATGGAATCGGGGCAATTTTGGTCTCACCAGAGGGAGAGCATTATCCTTTCACCAGTCAGCTTAATTTTGATTGTACTAACAATATGGCCGAGTATGAAGCTTGTGTTCTGGGTCTTAGAGCTGCTGTTGAACGCAAAATAAAAATGCTCAAGGTGTATGGGGATTCAGCTTTGGTAATATACCAACTCAAGGGAGAATGGGAGACAAAAGATCCTAAGCTTGTAGAATACCGTAAGTTAGTTATGGAACTTGTTGAAGAATTTGAAGAAGTAACTTTCAATTACCTCCCCAGAGAAGAGAATCAAATGGCAGATGCCTTAGCTACACTGGCAGCAGCGTTTAAAATGAGTGAGCATTCAAATATGATACCCATTGAAATGAAGGCTTATGAGTATCCAGCCCATTGTTTTAATATTGAAGAGGAAGAAGATGGAAACCCCTGGTATTATGATATCTTGCAATATATAAGGTATCAGAGTTATCTAGAACAGGTCACTGAGAATGATAAGAGAACCATTAGAAGAATGACATCAGGGTATGTGCTTGATGGTGAGACTCTATACAAGAAAAGTCTGGATCAGGTATTGTTAAGATGTGTGGACGCGAAAGAAGCCAAATTGATTCTTGAAGAAGTGCATGAGGGAATATGTGGTACCCATGCTAATGGGCATGCTATGGCTAGGCAGATTATGAGATTTGGGTATTATTGGTCAGCTATGGAAACAGACTGTATCAATTATGCCCGAAAATGTCACAAGTGTCAGATTTATGGAGAGAGAATACATACTCCTCCTCATCCGTTGCATGTAATGACAGCTCCGTGGCCATTCTCAATGTGGGGCATGGATGTTATTGGACAAATTTCGCCCAAAGCTTCAAATGGTCATCGCTTCATTCTGGTAGCCATATATTATTTCACCAAGTGGGTAGAAGCAGCTTCTTACGCAAATGTTACCCAGTCTACAATATGCAAATTCTTAAAGAATGAGATCATTTGTAGATATGGTTTACCAGAGAGGATTATCTCCGATAATGCGTTGAATTTAAACAATAAGATGATGGACTCGGTCTGTAAACAGTTCAGAATAAAGTATCATAATTCCACCACTTATCGCCCAAAGATGAATGGGGCAATAGAGGCGACCAATAAGAACATCAAAAGGCTCATAGAGAAGATGACTGAGACTTATAAAGATTGGCATGAGAAGTTGCCATTTGCTATGTTTGCCTATCGAACTTCTGTACGAACGTCAACTGGGGCAACTCAATTTTCTCTAGTATATGGGATGGAAGTTGTTTTACCTATTGAGGTGGAAATTCCATCACTTCGGATTTTGTCAGAGGTAAAGCTCAATGAGGCAGAATGGGTCCAAGCTAGGTATGACCAGTTGAATTTGATTAAAGAAAAGAGATTGAAAGCTATTTGTCATGGTCAGATGTACCAAAAACGTATGATACGGGCATATGGTAAGAAAGTTCGCCTTCGAGAATTCTATGGGGGAGATTTGGTGCTTAAAAGGATTTTGCCTATTCAGAAGGATTTCAGAGGAAAATGGATGCCTAATTGGGAAGGACCTTATATTGTCAAGAAGGCCTTTTCTGGGGGAGCTATAGTCCTAACTGAAATGGACGGATCAGAATTACCATATCCAGTGAATTCCGACGATGTTAAGAGATATTTCGCTTGAAGAAGAAATAAAAGAGAAAAAATGAGAAAAATGAAAAATGATGGAAAAAACGGAAAGAAAAAAAGAATAAAAAATGGAAAAGGGAAGAAAAAATGAAAAATGAAAAAAGAGAAAAATGAAAAAAAAAGAAATAAAAGGAGGGTTCAAGATGAAAACCCGAAAAAGGCGTCTTGGAACCAAATGAGGTCTCAAGTTGAAAACCCGCAAAGGGCGACTTGAGTTGAATTTGAAATTCAGAATTCGTGCATGGTGGAGGTTCTAAATCAATTTTGGAAGTGGAAAGAACTCCTGATATGGATAGTAACAATGACAGTTGGTGATCAGGGATGAGACTAAAGATTAATGAGTCTCGATTGAAATAACCAAGAGAAATTGAATGCACATGAGATTCAATACTGGTTTAGGGAATCCAATGATAGAGATCTGGGAGTTTAGAATCAGCTTCATACTCTTAAGCATCACAATTTTGGAGATCTTTTTGACAGAAGCTACACTCGAGACATTCTAACGGCGTGCCAGTTCAAAAGCATTTGCATTATTGATATTTGAAGACGCCTACTCTTTTGTTCTTTTATTGTTTCCAGTTAAAAGTTTTCCATGTAGTTACCTGAAAATTCTAGACATTTATATAAATAAATAGATGTCTTTCCTTGTTCGTTTCCCTCTTGTAAACATCTTATTTTGAAAGGTTAAAACATATAGCTTAACTTGAAGTACATGAGATCATTTTGTATTATTGTGCAAAAGGTTTTGGAAAATGCAGGTATTCTGAAGCTGATGATGGTTTTAACATGTAAGCTTGTGTGGTTACGGGAAAATGAAATCTTGAAGTTCGTAGGAAATTTCAGCCATTAAAAGATGACCCTAAGAGATTGTTGTTTGTCGAGAAGTTGATCATAGATACTGGCGGGTTTCAAGAAAGAAATGAGCCAAGGTCATGTTAAGGCGAGAGATATGGAATTGAGATTGTCAACTGGGGTGAACTGGTCAAACGTTCTGTGCCCAAGATGAAGCCGAGTTCCATCGAGATCAAAGGAGATAGAGTTCCTTCGAAGAAGAAAGTGCATCAAATTGCATATTTGCATACATTTAGGCATGAATAGGATCATGACACTCATAATTGCATGATGACTTAAGCATTTGCAGGTTTCCCAATGATAGTTGAAGATTGAAGATATTGAAGCATCGAGATGAAGATAACTAGTCTTGAGATTTTGACAAGAATGATGTTCATACGAAAATTGAGTCAAAGCAGAATCAAATATCCAATGGATTTCAGACAAGTTTGACCTTCAAAATAAGTAAATTTTAAGCCTTCACGAAAGAGCAGTGAAGCAATTAAATCTATAAGCCTTCACGAAAGAGTAGTGAAGCAAACTCGTTTGTTGAAGATTGAGTCCTATACTCTCTGAAGGAATAGGGAGCGGACAAGTTCGTTGAAGATTGATTCCTATACTCTCTGAAGGAATAGGGAGCGGACAAGTTCGTTGAAGATTGAGTCCTATACTCTCTGAAGGAATAGGGAGCGGACAAGTTCGTTGAAGATTGTTCGAGTTCTATACTCTCTGAAGGAATAGAGAGCGGACACGTTTTATTAAGATTGTTCGAGTTCTATACTCCCTGAACGAATAGGGAGCGGACCCGTTTATTGAAGATTTTCCGAGTTCTATACTCTCTGAAGGAATAGAGAGCGGACCCGTTTTATTGAAGATTGTTCAAGTCTTATACTCCCTGACTGAATAGGGAGCAGACACGTTTGCCGAAGATTGTTTGAGTCTTATACTCCCTGAAAGAATAGGGAGCATACCCGCCATTTGAAGATCTTTTCAAGTCTCGCTTATCCTGAAATAGCAGAGAAGCGGATTAATCTTCTGAAGTTCTAATGGCCGGACAAACTTGATCATCTATTGATCTTTGCTCTATTCTCGTTGCACAACAATGAGCAAAGAGGGGCAGCTGTAGATGCTTAATTTGTCTGGGGGCCTATATCATGGGCAAATGAAAGCAGTTTTTGGGAGTTAAAAACAAAAAAAAACGTGGAGGGTTAGTTTTTATCAGAATTAACTGCCATAGAATTAAAAGGAAAGAAGCATTGTAAACAGGGGACTCCGGACTGAAAACAAAAAAAATGGAGAGACATCAAAGAATTTTACATAGGGGAGGAGGAATCGATTTTTTTTTTGGATTAAAAAAGACAGAGACCAAAGGCAGAGGAACACAAGAACAAAAGCACAAGGAAATTGTTCGTTTTTCAAAACAAAGCAACTATAAAAGAGTGTGTAAACAACTAGCAAATTAGAAGTTCAACTCTTGTAAGATTTCCTTCCCATGATTATTTATAATTACATTTTACATTTTTGTTTTAATAGCTTTTGAAATAAGTGTGAAACTTTAAATAGAAATGAGCGATTTTGAGTTTACCTTTGGGTATATGTAGTCGGAGTAAATGAAAGATAGCTATTAGGGTTCTAGTCGAAGGCCAAAGAAGGTGGGTTATCCATTTTTGAGTAAGCGAAGCAAATACAAAACAAAGATTCAAGAAAGCTTTTCTTTTTTTAAAAAAAAAATCTTTGTCGTGTTTCATTGTAACAAAAGAGAAATTGAAAGTAAGAGGGGCTTCGAGTTACCTTAGTAATCGGGGTCGTAGCACCGGAGAGGGGAGACCTGCGCAAAGAAAAAACATAGGGGGAGGCACAAACGAAAGGGGTAGAATTTCATCGTGGGGGTAGTTAATGCCATTTTCCATGCTTTCCTCACTCTCACCATTCCCCAATGCCATATCTCTCTCTTCAGTGCCTTTGTCTCGCTTGACCAGACCCCAAATATCATCCAAATTGCTTCCACCTCTCCTCCAACGTCACATCGTTCTAGGCTGTGGGCAAGTATCGGTTGATCTCTTGGCCACTGTTCCTTCTTTCCCTAACCCAGACGACAAAATCAAGAGCATTAACTTAAAGGTTCAAGGAGGCAGGGAGAGATTATAGAGAAGTGAGAGGCGCCAGATTTGTTCAATTAGGATTAGATTTAGGTTTATTTTAGTTAATTAGATTCTATGTGAAAATTTTTGGGATAATTAATTTTTGTCCATCAAATTTGTTTAGTAAAATCAGAATTTCAGTCCCTCAGAAATTACATGTTTTAACGTTTAAATTACGGAGTCGTGTTTTTTATATTATTTGAACTTTAGTTAGTTAGTGTTATATGTGTTTACATTGAATATGTTTTAATTATTATGTAATGCATGTTTTTATTTGAACAATTGTTCGTAAGTATTATATACATATTTATATTGAATATGCTTTAGCTATTATATTTTACCCTATTTCTATGTATCCTATATTACATGTGTTTAACTTATATATTATTAATAGGTGTATATAATTTTTGTATGAATTTGTTACTCTGCATGATAGCTCTTTGTGTAATCTTTAATTTATATATGATCATATGACATTTTTACAAGAATTGCATGGTAACCTCATTTGCATAACTCGACATATTACATAATCGGACTAAGGGTAATACCTTTTTAATTTAAAATTGTCTTGAGTGGCCTGTCTTAACTGATTAGAGGGTCGTTTTGACCATTTTAAATTAAAAGTGTATCCCAAAAGTGAAACAAGAAATTGATTCATCACCTAAAATTTGGGAACGAAAGAAAAGGAAATGTTCGTTTATTTAAATTTATCGAGAAAAGGTTGTTATATCTTTAAGATTTGGTCTCGATACTTGTAAATAATCAAACATTATTTATCTTTCTAAAATGACTTGATAATTTTAATTTAATTTGTTTGAGTGCTTTTGAATGTTTTAAATTTTCTTTGTTTTATGGGATCAAAAATCAAACTAAATTAGAATTTGTAAAGTTCATTGCAAATACATTAATTAATCGACTAGGTACCGTTTTAGGGCGTTGTGGGGGTGCTAATCCTTCCCCACACGTAATCGACTCCCGAACTCGGATTTTGGTAACTTAGACCTCAATTTGTTGTTTTAATTAAAATTAATTTTTATTTAAAATAACAAACATTTTTGGGTGCCCAATCACACCCTAATTAAAGATTGGTGGCGACTCTTTGAACTGTATTTTTTCGATCATAAAGGAAATCCGATTTTTTTTTCCGAAACGAAAGGTTTTTAAATCGCATTTGTTTTTAAATTAAAAATCAATTGAAAGAGATAAATTAAAAATTAATGTGGTTTTTAAAATCTCACCTTTTTTTACCTTTTGAGGGAAAAATCGTTTCGACACTCACTACATGAATATTCTGCAAACATGATAATAGGTCTTCAATTATCATCAAACCAAACATCTGAACCCCGGCAACACAATTACTACAATGATTCTGGGTTATTTTTTGCTGACAGCTAGTGGTGCTCATTGGGAACGGACCAAGTGCCGTCGACATTTTGAAAGAGATCTCTCCTCTTGCAAAACAAGTTCACATGGCTGTTAGAACACCTTTTAAGTTGTTAAAGGTGGACAATTATGATAATGCATGGTAGCATACAATGGTTTGTTATAAATTTCATCCATTAATTTAAAATTATTAAGCTGCTCAACTTTTTTCCAGATATATAGACTTATTTTTTTTCTGCAGATTGAATGTGCGTATAAAGATGGTAATGTAGAGAATTTCAAGATGGAACAATCGTTGATGCAGATGTCCTTATTCATTGCACCGGGTATGTCTTAAAGATACCTTTTTTTTATAGATTTAAAACCCTTTTTCCAATCATGTGAGGAAGAACCTTTTTTATTACAGGTATAAATACCATTATCCATTTCTCAAGTCAAACGGGATAGTTACTGTAGATGACAACCGTGTTGGACCTCTGTATAAACACGTTTTCCCGCCCACTTTAGCCCCTTGGCTTTCTTTCGTGGGACTAATTTACAGGGTAACCTTTTTGCTTACCCAAAGTATTGAATACATTAACTGATTAATAAAACCGAGTTCCATATTTACACAATCAGGTGGTGATCTTTAAAGTGATGGAATTACAAGCGAAATGGGTGGCAAAAGTTTTGTCAGGTACGTTGGAGCTGCCGTCCCAAAAAGACATGGCATCTTCGGTCGAACAACTTTACAGGCAGATGGAGAACACTGAATTGCCCAAGCATCATACTCAGCCTTGAGAAGGACGAGGCTGAATATGTAACTTGGCTTGCTGATCAGTTGAACTTAAAGCTCCCCAAAAGGTGGAAGGAAATAACCCTATTCTCCAATATCTTGAAACAGATATTTCTTTACGATGAAAACTATAGGGATGCATGCGATGCTGACAAATGGATACAACAAATAGATTCCTCTAATTAACCAATCACATATTAAAAAGTAATAAATAGTAATTGAATATGTGTATATGCAAAAGTTTGCGGGGGTGGCCTTTCATGGTCTTATCTATTTTCAAGTTTGCTCATTGTACCTTTGGTTTTACACTGCATATATATATATATATATATATATATATATATATATATATATATATATATATATATATATATGCGCGTGTGTGTGAAGCTCTGTTTTGAAAATCGGACTAGATCGATCGTTTCAATCGATTCAATTGAAAATCGTTATTTAGTCTGATATAATTTAAATCGGTTGAACCGCTATTAGTGAATCGGTCTAAACCGCTGAACCGTTCTAACCGAACCGGCTAAAAATCGGAAAAAATCGAGAAAAATCGGGATTTTTGGTTTTTTTTAAAAAAAAAAATTAAACCAAACAACGTCGTTTGTTAAACGAGCCAAGTCGAACTCGAGTATTACTAAGCTCGACTCGAACTTGAAAACTTTAAAAGTAAGCTCAACTCAACTCAAACTCACAAGCTAAAAATTATCAAGTTCAACTCAAACTCAAACTCGAAATATAATATTAAAACTTGAACTTAAAAATGCTTGAATTTGAACTTAAAAAGGCTTAAACTCAAAAAAAATTTAGAAGCTTAATGAAGCCTAAAATTCGAGCTTAATTTAAGTGAAAGAATAGTTCACTCAATGCTCACCAAAAGGCTCTATAATTTTAAATGTCAAATTACCTCTATTATTTATAGAAGTTAGTTGTGATACGCTTCTATGTTTCTTAACAATGTAAGATTATTTTATTCTCATATGGGATTGTTTTTTAAAAAAAATTAAACCAAACAATATCATTTTATTATGATTTTTTTAACCCTAAATTTATTTTTTAATTATAGTTATATAATTATATTTATTATTTAATATATTTTACTTTAAATATTATGTTGTAGTTAATTTGAATTATTTTGTTTTACTTAATTTTATAATTTTTAACTTATATATGTTATGACTTGCTTTAAATATAACTTGTGATATAAAAAATTATATTTTATTAAATATTTTTGGTATTTTTATTAAATTTTTTAAATAATTATGACGTCGTCTGGTTCTTTCGACCGATCGGACCGATTCGACTAATTAAACCAATAAATTGATAGTATGTTCAGTTCGTTAACCGATCCGATTCTGAAAACCATGGTGTGAAGGAAAATAAAGAATTTAAGAGGATGAACAATGGTACGTGAGACGGAGAGGAGAGTGTAATAATACAAAAACAAGGGTAGATTTCAATTTTCATCAGTAAATTGCCTGGAATTGAATAAGATTAAAATACCAACAATGACGAAGTCTCCACTCACCTCTCAGCTCTCTCTTCCATAGACGAGTGAGTTTTTCAATACGGTGGAGCTCGTTGTGGAGTTTTTTTTCTCCGGTTCATCAAACTCCCCGGAACTTCCGATTCCGGAGGACACGTCCGACGACACACCGTTAAGCTTGTCCTTTTCTTCCTCACGATCTCCGACGTCGTAGCGGTCGAAGTAAGTGCCCCACACCATACTTCGTCGTATCCGCCGCACCCAGACGACGTTTTGGTCGAACCAGACGGTTCAAGGACCGAGTCAGGTGTATCCAAACCGGAATAATTTAAAGGCAGATAATTGCACTCGAACAGGAACTTGGACAGCCCATCTTCTGTTCTTAACAAATAACTCCGCTGCAACAAAAAAAGGTCGAATCATGATTTTTGAATGGTCAGCAAAGAAGGACCAAAATTGAAGAGAGAGAGAAAATGAACCTTGCAGGAGAGAGAACAAAAGAGATAAGGGTGTTGCAGGCATCTGTCGCAGATGGTGAAGAAATTGCCGGAGCCTCTGAACTGTCTCGCCTGAGGCATTTGGTTTATAAATATCACTTTTGCACTATTCGTTATGTATGACTAAAACAAAGAGAAAATGAAAGCCATTAAATTACCTTGAATTGAAAATAAATACATAAATTCAAAGCTCCACAAGGAGGAAGAAGGGTGACTTACTTTAACAAAGGAACAGTCCATTAAATTTGTGGCATCATCCAATCTTATAAAATCATGGTATATATATCTTCTTATCTGCAAAACGAGAGAATTTTTAACAAACTGAAAGCCAAAAAACAAAAGCGATGTTCGTTTCTGAGCAGAAACCTGTAAGAGCCTGTGGGAGCTGTGGCGTTGAAAGCAGTGAGGGCATATACTGATGCAACAATCCAAGCAGAAGATGTTCTTCTCATTTTTTTTTGGCGTCTTCATGGACTATACAAGCGTTGAAGAATTTCTCAGAAAGAAGAACATGAAGCCAACGAGGTGCATGAGAAGAAAACAACTGTAAAATTGAAACATAATTCCATTAGCTCTCGGCAAAGATTAAAAACGAGTAAAAAGAGAACACAGTACACTTACCATGGTAATTTTCTTGTTTGAACTTAGAAGAGAGATCTTGGTCCAGGGCATTTGACGATTATGGCAATGAGAGAGAAGATGAGAGCTCAAGAGAAGAGAAACGGCGCCTGGTTGCTGCTGCTGCTGCTGCAGGTTTTCCTTTTCGTGTGTACTCGAACGTCATCGTAGTCTAGTCTAGTGTAAAGCTAAAGATAGAAAAGTTAAAAAAAATGGCATTTTTAATTACAGGGTCTTGACTGAAAGGAAAAGAGCTGGCCATTGTCCCCCAAAACCCTTAAAAACCTAACCTTTTGGTTGATTTTTTTCTCTCTCTTGTGCAAACTGCAAAATGACAAGATTGGGGCTCTGGGTTTCAGAAAGTGACCCATTTTTTAAAACTTTCTTCATCATCTTCATTAATACATGTGGATGAAGACTACTAGCAGTCTTTGGGTCAATCCGTGGCTTCTTTATAAATTGCTCAATTATTGTTGGATGCTTAACTGATGTCAATGGAGTTTGATTTCAACTAGTTTCTGGTCAAAAAAACATGGAAATTATTTACAAGGACTATACATTCACTATTTTATGATAAATACATATACGAGTTAAATCCATGTACTACATTTTTGTATATGATTAATTTAGGTGAAACGACACTAGAGGTCCTTGTACTTTTGAAGAAAATCAATGTGATTCTTGTATTATTTTTTCTCTTAAAGTGGCCCTCTAATTCAAAAAGTAAATCAATGTGACTCTTTGACTAACATTTTTTTTCATTTGACTTACGATGCTAACTTGGTAGTTTACAGTACTAACGTGGTGGTCTACGGTACTGATGTGACAATCTATTTGTCATGTTTGAGATACTAATTTAGTTCATTTGTCATGTTATCTGCCACGTTATCAATCACTTGTGATTGTCACGTTAACACCGTGAACTGCCACATCGATATTGTATCGGTCAATGACAAAAAGCGTTGGTCAAAAGGCTACATTAGATTTATTTTCTAAATTAGAATGTCATATTGAAAGAAAAAAATACTAGTCTCACATTAATTTTTTAAAATATAGAGAACTTTCATATTTTTTTTATCATTTTTATTTGTTTATGAGAATAATATTTATTTTATTTTTTGGTCAAATGAAATTATTGTCTTAATTGTATTATTTTTAAAGAAATATAATATATTTGAATACATATTTTTAAAAGGGTTAATTATATGAATTATCACTTATGTGTGTGTTTTGTTAACTTTTGGACACTAATTTTAAAAAACATAAGATATATTTACTTTTGTTTTTATTTAATTAAAATATGGTCATTACGGGTTATTGTTGTTAACAATTAATAGAATATGTGATGTGAAAGTTGGTATAATCACACAATTAATCTATGTTATTTACATATTATCTCAATTTAGTCGTACTTTTAAATAAATTTTAACATAAAATATATTTTTAAATGAAAATAAAAATAAAATGCTTTTAAATAAAATATTATCTCATTTTGCTTTGCTTTGTTTTCTTTGAACTAGAGAGTGACATATGTCACTTTTTAATTGGTAAAAATAAATATATTAAATTAAAATAAAATTAGTCCTCCAATTGAATAGTGACACATGACATTAGGGGGTGAGCAAAACTTGACTCGACTCGTGAAAACTCAACTCGAATTAACTTCAATTAGTAATTTCATAAACTCAACTCGACTCGAAAAAAATTCAAGTTCAAATTGAATTGTAAAATACAACTCTAATAACTCGAAATTTTAAGTAATTAGTGATTTTCAAGCTTGAGTTGAATCCCTTGACTATACATCATAAATGTATATCACGTGTGAAAAAAATTATGAAGAAATACACATGTATTGTATATAGTTATAAAAGATCAATTAAATTGGTATCAAATAATATCATAATATTATAAATATTTATAATTAAATTTAAACAGAAACTTGAAAATTTGGCTCGACTTGACTTGAATTTTAAAAACTCGACTTATCTCGAAAAAATTTCAAGTCAAATTCGAGTTGTAAAATAGGACTTTTCAATTCGATTAATTCAAAATTTTTTGACTCGACTCAGCTCGATTGAATGCTCACTCCTATGTGGCATGACATGTGACATCATTCGATTGGAAGATTAAATTTATTTTAATTTATTAAAAGTATGATTAAACTGAGAAAATGTGTAAATAACAGAGACCAAATGTGTGATTATATCAAAATATTTAACTGTTATTAACGACAGTTAACTCGGGTGATCACATCTTAATTAAATAAAAAAATGATCATATCTTATTTTTTTTTAAAATTAGTGACTAAAAATGAACAAAATACAAATATAAATAATCATCCATGTAGTTAACCCTTTTAAAAATTACTACTCCATAAAATTTTATTACTTAATCCACCCCCATCAAAAACTTTTATATCAGAAAATAATTTGGTAAAAGAATGAACCTAGCTGAATTATAGGTCGAGGGTGAAGTCTGGTTTCGCAGTTTCTGAAACTCAAATCATGCAAAGATCTTAAAATTGAATATGAGAAACGACAGTGAAAAATGATTTATTTTTTTTCTAATTTCTTTGGCAAATATGAGTTGGGATATAAAACATGAAAAAGTAAGGGAAATTGAATAAAACTTTGCACAAGATCCAGAAAGCAGCTGCACAAAAGACAGCAGTGAAATTAAGGCTTTTAGAGGAAATCCAGGCAGGCAAAACAAGATGCCAACAACACGTGAAATAAGTGAAGAACACGAGATCGTATGAAATCGTGCACGTTTAGGAAAGACAACTTGTAAGCTAAGGTGATAGATAAGTTTCTAGATATAACTTACTTTTTCTCATTCATCCATGACTGCAAATAAAACCACCCCCAAATTTCACCAACCAGAAGACCCTGATCTCCATGTGTCTTATTTATCCTCGAAACTCGACATCATGGGTTACTTCCTCTTTGGTTTTTGCCTGCACTGCCGTTGTTATGACCATGTGATTCATTTCAAACTTAAAATCCACCTCTGCTGGATAGCACTCCCCCCCCCCCCCCCGCGCGGGGACTCAGATTATACCGACCGAGGCAATCTAGTTCTGAACAGTTATCTTCATCTCAGAATGGTTACAACTCCAGGTTCAAATGTAAAGATATCAGTCGGTGAATCTCATATATTCAAATAATGAAGTTCACTCTTTTTTCTTTTGACCTACAAGGCCCTATGTGATCATAAGTGAAATTGACTCAACAATGAAGAGTGACGATGAACCGCCCGTTGACTACATCAAATGCATATGATTTGCAGAAGAAAGAAAATTGTGACTTTCTGTCTGATGGTTACCAAAAGGAAGGTACCTCTAGCTTCATGGAGAATATGACCTATTATAACAAATTACAAAGCAAAGTTCTCTTAGCGAAACACTACCACTTTCGACATTGAGTTTTAACAACTCGTGTCTCTAGTTACTCCGATAGCCAATAGATAATAAGGAACAATGTACAAGCAGCAATAACTGCAGAGTGTCTCTTGAACGCCTCCTCCTTATGGAACCTAGAAAATAGGGGACTTTTAATTAGTATAGAGAATAATGCTACATGTGTAAAAAAATTCTGGCAATAAAGATGCACAGTAAAGTACCAAGCAAGCCACGAATAACAGGGAACTTGTCACTTAAAACTTTTACTTTCCCTTGAACATCTCCAAACAAAGCTCGTTGAGAGCCCAACACAGCCCTTGTCGTTTGTGCTTGATTAATGACATCATCTATATATAAGAAAAAAAGATACTGATAATGAAATGGATGCTAGAACAAAATTACAGTTTATCTTGTTGCATGGTGCTAAAGCTATCGAGCAAAAAATTTATGACACCAATTGGAAGCGTAGAGGACTTTTCTATATGCCACACTAATCTTATCAAGCAAAAAACCTAAAGCATTTTTAAGATTCCTGAAATACCTGTCGGCAGAGCTAGAAAAATATGTGTGTGAATATAGACAGATATTTGTGTGTGTCTGTGCAAGCATGCACATGTTTTTTGTATGCATTAGAAAGAGAGGTTACAAAAAATTCTTGTTGGCATATCTTTTTACAATCAGTTTTGGACATCAATTGAGTTCACCATCCCCTCTCCCAGACCAACTACTAAAGTTTCCTTTTTGGGTGGATAATAACTTAGTCACATAGTATGTTCACTTGAGCCAAAATACAGATAATGCAAAACCCATGGTTTTGCCGCTAATCATAGAAGGTAACAGCTCTAAGAAGAATCAACATTCACAAGTTTGCATGGCGTTTCAAGTTTAAAGTAGTTCCTTCTACTCCTTGAAAGAAATTACGAAGACATTTGGACTTAGGGGTGACAATCAAGAGATAAAAGGGTCTGCATCAGTAAGTAACCAGAACCAAAATGATGGAAGCTCATCATCAAAATGAAGGCAATTTTGTTATTTGGGGTTACTTTTATTTCTATGGGCTTGATTCTCTATTTACGTAATTTTGTGCTTTAGCTAGCTTTTGGTAATTGAGATTAGGAATCGAAGATTAGAAACAAAAGAGACTAGAGAGCTTTTATATTTTTAGCCATCATACTTGAGAGTTGAGACTGGTAATTTTGGCATTGAGATTTTACATACCAAACCACTAGTTTAAGGTTTTACCTTCTGAGCAATAGATTCATTCCTTTAATCTGTTATGTGTATGTGTGTAGCATATATTTCCTCTTCAAGCAGTCAAGTAATTGTTAATGACAAGACACAGAAGAGGAAGATTCTGAAAACAAAGAATGAACCAAGATATGCACAGATTAAAAATAATTAAATCTTACATGAGCTATGCTCCCATGGATGGCAGCTCGCTCTCTGAGTAATTGCATTCTTGGTGACATGCTCCCAGATGCCTACATGAAGGCAGTTATAGTTATTTTCCGGAAACAATGGTATGGGAAATTAGAGCAACAAATTTAAGAATATGACTACCTTAGACTCATTGATATCTTCCCTGACAGAACTCAGAAGCTCTGCATGTTCCCTCATTGAGTTTGTATTTCCATTGATTCTTCTGAATTCCTTAAAACAAAAAATTATACCATTACTTCAAACCTATAGATTATTAATCAACTTATCCAAATAACAAATGTCCAAAAGCAGTAACTGCGTTATTTCATGGAACATGAATACATTAATCTGCAATGCAAGGAACCAGAGTGGTAAATGAAGTAACTAAAGAAACCATAGGGTTTGGCATGTAGCAGCATAAATATATAAGCGAGGAAGCCGTTGCTCTTCAGAAATTGAGAGTGAATGAATGCATTCTGGGGGCTTGGTTTGTACATACAAAGTAGAAACAATATTTTAACCGGGTAATTCCAAGGAAAATGGGTACATTAACTTATATTAAGCAGCTTCATGGTGAAATGTGTTTGTAAGATGATCAATTTAAACTTTAAACCCGTGTCCAATAAACATGCTTTTAACAAATGCAGGTAAGTCCAAGAAGAAACATGACTGCTATAATACACTAACAGTTCCTTATCAGATGCAATGTAGGAAAAGATGTAATGAAATCCTCATATTCCTTTAGGGCTCTTAATATCTGATAACTAAACATGAATATCTGAATTAAGAAAACAAGAGTATAAAGCAGAGTGAGCGGATTAAACCTGAGTAAACTCATGTAGAATGCCTCTATGCCAAGCAAGTTTCTGGGTTTCCGAACTAGTCGGTGCAGAAGATGCAGCACATCTACTCATTGCATCATTTATGTCCAGCAGTTTCTGAAGCAATGGTTGAATTTCAATTTCCATAGACTTCCATGATCTGCTTGATCCGATCGGTCGCGACCCAGTATCTACATAACCTAAATGTAAGTAAATATTATCACAAAGAACAAGAAAAAACGAAAGATCACCAGATTCCTTAGGCTTTGGATTCCTAAAATAGAATATGCTCAATTCTTCAACAGATTTGTTCCTAATTTCAGTAATCTACCGAAAAAAAAAAACTCAAAAAGCAACACAGATTCCAGAAAACAACAATAAAAAAAGGATGAAAAGGAGCAAACCTACTGGGGTGAACCTAGCACCGAGCTTAGCATGAGAAGAGAGTTTGACATCGAGATCGCCTTCGATTTTTCGAGCTTCTTTCCTCAGTTCCTCCCAACCCGATTCTTATAGATCCAAGTTCGGATCCGTCATTTGGATCTCGGTAGTTCAAATTGGAGTCCTCGCTCTTCAATTCCGGCGTTGAGTTCTTATGAGGAGATGGGTTCAGTTATTACAGTTACTAAGTAACCTTATTTGATTAATTAAACTAAAATAAATATTTAAAATTTTAAATCACGTTGTGACACATGTCATATTCTAATTGAAGGCTTAATTTATTAAATTAAATTTAAATTAGGATTAAATTGATATAATGTATAAATATTAATGATCAAATGTATAATTATATCAATTTTATTAACGGCCACATCAGTACTTCCGTTAAATATAAACAACAAGTGGTTTGATTCATAACAATTAAATAGTTAGGTAGTCTGAACGATAAAATCGAAAGATTGATAGTAAAAGTAAAAGAGCTAACTAGTTGAGTGGTCAGTGGTATAGTTTACCCTATTACATATCTGCCTAGCTTTATCATATCTAATTTGACCCCCGAACTACAGCTAAAATATCATTTTCGTCCTTAAATTATTAGTCTTTAAAATGTCATTCGCACTACTCCAAATCAAATGGGGGTTTGATTTATGTTTTCATTGTCAACAGGAAAGACATTCAACACAATCCAGTGCAGCATACTGCCATAGAAATGAAGCAAGAAGCCAGCCAACCACTGTTAATTTATGCGAATGAACCAAATTTACATGTGAATAATAGCTATTCGGGATAAGAAGTAGGTCCAACAAATCCCTTTTCTCATTTCCATTCATGCAGGTGACACCATGTCTACCCTCATAGCTTTCATACATCTGTTTCTTTATGTCCTTCTCCTTCTGGTGATCTCAGTTGACACATTTTGTTGTTACAGAGAAAGATTCTGCTAGACTCGTACAATCATCTCAACCATCAATCATTTCCTTTCCAACTGTTTCTATTTTTATGCTCATCGCTGACAGATGCATAGACTGCTGACATGCCACTAGGGATTATACAATCAATTTAAGAGGCTCTGGATTCTTTTCTTGTTTCTATATGATTCTAGGGAAATAATCGTATGTAATATGTACTTGACAAATTCTAGTAGAAGGCTCGTCCCTGATGTTGCTCCAAAAAACTCAACGTCTCCGTGAATGTTTTTGTTTCTTGATAGAGTGGAGGTTTGGTTAGGTGTGTATGATGCGTTGGTGAATGAAGAAGGTGGGGACATTTGTGTTTGTAGTTCAAGTAATTAGTGTGTGTTGTCATGGAAAGAATGAGTGTAGCTAGGTCGGTCCTTAGTCTAAATATTATTCTTCACTGTGTTGTGATTCTATCATGATCGTGGCGGGACGAAAATTTCATGGGCGGAGGAGTCTCAGATAGAAATGACAACCCCATAACAATGTTATGGAGGAAGAGAGAGTGGTAGTTTAAGGACAACATCGATGTCCTAGTTATCATTTGGGGGCTAAATTTGATACTAATCATTTTTATTAACATGCCATATCATCATTTGAACTAGAGAGTTAACGATGGAATGATAATTTTGTGATAAATCGATGATTTTAATGATCATAATATAATTGTTTAAACTTAAGTGGCTAAAATGTAAGTATTATCAAACTTTAGTGATGTAGTTTACCCTTAGTTTATTACGCGTGAAATTTGACACTGACGCCCACTTCGAACTGTATTTCGTCCTTCCGTTGACTACCTTTTCACATTCCCGTTTTCGTTTTAAGCTGCCGAGTTTTCAGTGATTCGCTTTCTATTTATAAAACAAGGCCATCTCTCCCCGTTCACTCCACATACATCTACCTAAGATTATGAGTTTAAATCTTCAGAGCTGCCAAAAAGAAGGCCAAAAAGGTTAGTTTTTTCATATAGATTTCGTCTCTAATGAAGAACTCCGTTGTAGAGTGGAATAAGAATGTCTAATATACCAACGTCTCTTTCCGAAGTTTGCCTTACGCCTTACCATGTCCATCGCCGATCCTTGGCCCTTTTCACGAACCTCTTTTTCTTTGCTGTAACCAAGTCCTTTTAGCTTTATTCATAAACACATACATACAAAGGAAAAAAATCCCTCCTTTTGTTTTACGTTATCCATGAGGAAGATAAGAGGCTTCAAGATTGGGAAGAAGCTGGTCCGAATCTCCGGACGGTTCATCGGGAAATCTCGGTGTCCACGTGGATGTCGTCCCTTGACTCAGCCAGGATCGTTTTGCAACTCAAACCCTTTCTCCAAGCTTATTACTTGGGGTCGCCGCTTGACACAAGCAGCCAAATCTCTCTGCTCAGTGAAACCCGGGTCGGGTTACGTCCCCGTCAAAGAGGAAGTCCAGAAAGGACGCTTGGCCGTCTACCTTGGTAAAAAAGGCGGCGACTTTCATAGAGTTTTGGTGCCGGTTATTTACTTTAACCACCCTTTGTTCGGCGAGCTCTTGCGAGGAGCCGAAGAGGAGTATGGATTTAGCCAGCAAGGTGGAATCACGATTCCCTGCGGATTCTCGGAGTTTGAGAGGGTCCGAACCCGGATCGCAGCCAGAACCGGAAGATGGAAAATGTCGTGGAAGCGCCACCTTTGAGAGGATGCCGCCGGTGGTGATATTTTGAATATTTGATAACGACGATAATTAATTCTGGTCAATGATTCGATAACGATGTTATAATTGAATAATTATATTTGTAGTGTGTTTATATTCCATTATGAGGCACATTTCCAGAAGCCAAGCCATCATCTTCCACTTTTGATTGGAATAAGCAGCGTATGATTTGGCTTAAAAGCAGCATTATCGGCCGAGGAATAAAGCGGTAGAGGGAATATTGGTATAACCATGGCCCAACCCTAAATAGTGCAAAGATTCCACTCACAAACCTTCCACTCCTCTTTCAGAATCTCCCTACCTAAAGCACTCAACTTGGAACTACAAAAATATAAAAAGGAGGATAGCATAAGAGGGAAAAAGATAGAGTTTCACCCATTCTAATCCCTTCCTCATGTCAAATTTTTTGGGTAAATAACATGTTTAGTACCTAAACTTTCAATTTTTCAAAACCATATCTAAAGTTTAGTTTTTGTTTCATTTTAGTACCTTATTCAAAATTTAACGTTAGGTTTTGATTTTTTTTTAAAGTTTAGGCACTAGAACGCGTTAAGATTTTAACGGTGGGTACTAAATAAAACAAAAACTAAATGTTATGTATAGTTTTGAAAAAAATTAAAAATTTAATTACTAAAACGAAATAAAAATGATAGTTTAAGTACTAAATGTATTTTTAAATTTTGTTTCTTTTTCTGTTTCGATTCATTCACCCCACCTAAACACACACACACAAAGGGGAAATTATTAATTGGGCTTGGGCATATTGTCTACAACAGTCTGATTTTCTTATTTGCTGAATGATCTTTTTAGCTACTGAATTTTATTAATTTAACTATTTTAGCCAATGTATTTGAGGTACCTTAACCTGAAAAAAATACAGGTTTAGAGATGCTGTGTGTGATTTATGCAACTTGCAAACTATAAATATCAGGTAATGTAGAAATCTCAAGGAGTTGCAACATAGATTCTAAAAGATAAGCGTTTGTAGCGAGCAGGTAAAACATGTAGTGGACGTTAAAGGAACATGTTTGCTAACGTTAACCGAGCACCAATACGACTTTATTTGTTCAAGCTCGACTTGTTTAAACTCCTAATTTTAATATTTATATTAAAATAAATAAAATTTAGGTGAATTCCAACTTAAATTGACATGATTTTAAGTGATACTCTTGGTGTAGATAAGTGTATATTCCTTCCGGGGTGAAACAATCAGTTTTCCTTTTTAGAAAAAAAATAAACCACAAAAGTCGTTGAAAACGAATGTCATTTTCTAACATTAACCAAGTTTCGTACTTGAGAAATCAACCACCAACCAAACCCTAATCTAGTCAGACAAATTGTGCTTGCAAGAAGAAAAAAAATGCTTTCGGTTGGCTATTTACTGATGTTGTCATCTTAACTAACTAATTCCATTGAACATCGTCATTGACGTGCTGTATTTGTTTATTTTAAAAAATATATATATGTAATATCCGTACACTACGAACACGAAGGATGAAATCAACTTTGTTATTCACTGATAAGACTATACAACTACACAAATAACTAATGACAACATCGACACTTACAGCCTTAACTGATATTTATTTTACGAGCGGCGATTAAACTTAGTCATAATCATACATATACAATTGCATTAATTTATAGTCCCAAAGTGTAAGGCACGCCAGTGCTAGCCAACCAAGAATTACCGGCGAGAAATTCACCGGCGGTAAACCTTGACGCCTCGCCTGCGCTCCTAAGAATACGGTAACCTCTCCATTTGACTCTATTGGATGTGGATGAACCGGGGCCGGTGTTCATGTACTCGGCGTAATACAATGTGTTAAGCGCGAAATTACCGTCCCATTCCATCCAACCGGCGGGGTTAATCAGGCTATCGAGGTACGTTTTCATGAATACCGTCCTCGAATATTGTTTCCATGGCCTCCCTAGGTACGTTTTGACCGAGCCTTGCACCGGCCTTAAATCGGAGGCTGCGGTAACTCTAGAGTTGTGGATTATAATTCCAGTGTTCTGATTTGGGTCGGTTCGACCTTGGGCGGTCACCGTATTGGTTTTATTAGGGGGATTCCGTGCATATATGTTGCAGTTTTGTAACACACAAGCTGAGTTACCAAATATGAAATCGACGGTTCCGTGGATGTCGCATTCTCGGTAAAATTGTCTCTCGGAATGGACGTAAAGAGTGTCTTGGTACCCTTCGAAGCTGCATCTGTAGAACACCGAGAGATCGGAGCCTGAACGGAGAGCCACCGCCTGCTGGTTTCTAGGACCGGCGGTGTTTCTGAACGTAATGTCACGACCAATAAACCCATCTCCAACAACAGCTGAAATTCCGAAGTTATTACAAAAAGAAAAAAAGAACGTCAGTTAATATTTCGTTTTCAATCTAGAATTTGACTAGCATATTAATTAAATGCAGATCAAATCACATCAATGTAATAGCTGATTCATGCTGTTTTAGTTTTCAAAACATTTTCTTGACTAAAAGAGCTATATTTTCTATGAATATCCATAGGTCGAACTTGTTGAAATTCTAAGAACTTTACACGTACAGATTATTCGATATTGAATTCGAAAACTGAAAATTTGATCATAAATTTATTGTCACTTAATATAATTTGGTTAATTAATAAACCATTTTTTACATGTGACAAAGAAAGGAAAAATTGTAGACAGGTTGCCTTCATGGTAATTTATTTACCACAAATAGGACTAATAGTTCTCCATTGACTTAGTTCGTCTACTGACTAGGATGTTTGGTTTTTATTTATTGTTTTACCAAAAGTCTAAGTACTAATTAAGAAGCAAAGATTAAATTACTAGTAAAATAATTATAAAAAAAACTCTTAAGAAAATACAAAGGGAACCAACCGGCATGTTTCCTACCATTAATTTTTAATATGGTTTACAATTAAATAATAATGGTAATGATTTAATATTTTGAATATATTTAAATTTATTTAATAAAATATTTTCAATGAAAAATACACAAAATTTACAATTTTTGTTGTCTTGGTTCATTGACTATGCAAGAGATTGTGCATAAAATGCACTATATATTATATCCAATTATATTCAACATTTAATTTTTATATCACTTGTATTATTAAAATTGATAAACAAATTAATAATGTAACACATTAAAAATAATACATGTCAACCATGAAATAATTTACTAATATTAATATAATTATATTTGAATCTTATATATATATTATAAAAGTTAAAACAAAATGACAAAGGTTTCAAAAAGAAATTAGGCATGAGTTCGTACCTGATTAATTTTAGATTTATAGGTTTGTTATTTGTTTATTATATTTATCTACTAAGCTATATGTACAAGTTATGTAGGGATGGCTGAATAGCCCCGATGCTTAGCCAAGAAAAATTAAAAACATTTTATTAATAACATTTGTTGTTATTGTGGGCTGATTTATCACAAAAAATTATATTATTAAATAATAATTAATTATCTATTAAAACTATTTAATTGAAGAATATGTTATAGTGACGACAGATGTTGTTTTAATTCCGATTAAAATTAAATTTTAAGTTCAATCCCGAACATTTTTTTACATTCTTACAAAAAAATGAAGTTAATGACATTATTTTCATACTTTTGAAGTTAAGTCTTTAGTTTTAGAAGTAGTTGCCTTGGTACCCGTCTAAACCTAGTATTTAGCATGAGGTTTCCGCTACTAATATTACCTGCCCTTTCCTTGCAAGGTATACTTTCATGGCAAGGCACCATTGTCCATTTTTACTGAAGTGTGACTGTGGAAGAAGTAATTTTATCTCAGTAAAAATATCATGCGAAATCTTACTCACCAAAAGTGGCTGAACTGAAAGTAGTGGATCCTCCTCCGACGCTTTTACTCCCAGTGATGATAGTTTTCCCAATACCATCGCCCGCCATCATAATATTTTTCAGATTGCTTCCTATCTCAACGTTCTCCCTGTACGTACCAGCCTTCACGTATATCACGTACCTTCCACTCCCGGACCGCTTCGAAGCGGCGGATATCGCGTCTTTTATTGTCCTATAATTCCCTGAACCGTCCTGCGCTACGACGATATTTGCCCGAGAAGCCGGAGATGATGACTGCAACAGCTTCCTGTCACCGGGTTTCACCCACGTGGGGAACCCATCTTTGTACGTCGGTTCCTTGTAAGGTGCCTTGTTGAGAGCCAGGGTGTTACTGATTAGCTTGGACACGTTATTCGACATCATGGGAGGAAGGTAATCCGGGACACCGAGTTCGATAAACCCGTTCCGACAAGTTTCGAGGTTGGTTAAAGCCGTGCTGAGCCATGTTTGACGATCGTCTTTGTTGAGATTAGGGCTGGATTCAACAGTTTTGTTGAGACTAAGAACGGTTAGCTCATAGAGCTTTAAACAATCGGACCATGCAGCCTTTTCGCGCTCGTTTCGGCACTTTGTACCCAACGAATACGCGTTTCTTTCGGCATGAGTGGCACGCTCTAACGCGAGGTGCATGGCGACTTTGAGGAAATCGGGCTCATCTTTGATCGGTATATTTTTTTGATCATTGCTCAAAAAATACTCGCACGGCACCGGGTTCGGAGTTTTGCCGCACCACGATCTCACGTCGTTGGTCCTATAGCCTAACACAACGGGAAAAACAAAACAAGAAACCACGAAAAGCGCTACGAGGATTTGAGAATGTGCTAGTGCCATGGATGGGGTTTTTGACTCTTTGAAAATGCTAGGGTTTATATGGGATATTAAAGCTCCATCTCTTCATCTCCTTATATAGATGCTTTGGTCCACCTAAAGGTTTGAATTTTAGCACTTCCTCAAACTGTAAATTACTACAAAACTGTTTGTTGGCAGCTTGAAAAGTGAATTCTTTTATACATAAGAAGAGGAAAAACGAAACATGCATTGACCATAAGAATTATACATGCAAATCCCATATGATATTAAGATGAAGAGCCTTACTTTGGTCTAACAG